ATAGAAGGTTTCGGGAGCGGAGCTAAATATGGCCACGGTTGAGAGAGAGAGAGAGATTGAATGATGCTGATGGCACTGAGCGTGAATTGATGGAGGCCAGAGGGAGAGGTTCAGCTTCGGCAATACAGTTAGTCCGACAGCGTCAAAGGCAGCCAGAGTGGGGCGGATCAATCGGCCTGCAGATGTTGAAAGTCGCTTGCTATTGTGTCCGAGGGCCCAATATGTATATATACTTCTAAAGAGCTTTAAAGGTCTTATTTATCTAAATCAGTTGAGCTAATGTTGAAGCTCATGGCAGCTCTCTTTTGGGCACCTTATCACTCACAACACCAACTCAATATATCTCAGATGCCTACTAGGCTTCCTCCCCGACTACCAGACTTTCTCTCTTTACCTCTCACAGAACACGACTTTTCCGCGTAACTGCATGACTCTATCCATGGCCATACTTGTCCCTCACAAAAGCCTCGTAAACCTCCGGAAATTCCTGAGCTAGTTGGAATGCGTGCTCTCGACTATGCGGAGTGTGAAACACCATACACATGGTCCACAGCCAGTCACCCTCCTTGCCTCCCAATCTCGTCGCAGGCTCTATATACACATGGTGTCGTGCCACATGCTTCGTCAAATCGGGATGAGTCTTGGCCAGCTCCAATATAGGGCTGTAACTGCTATCCACCGCCTGGTGTGCAAGCTGATCTGCCGGATGATCGGGGAACAGGAGCTTGATACGCTCCAGGCTGACAGGCACGATACAGTTGATGAGCCACGTGTGGTCGGTGACCTCTGGGTGGAGAAATGGAGCTGAAAACGCTTCGTATCGAGACCAATCACTAACGGCGCAGAGAACACCCAACATCCACAAGTCGATTCCGCGCGCGATGACGCTGGAGGCTGAACTCATTGGCCCCGGCATCCTGGCATTGACCTCGTGAAGATATACCGGAGTGTCCTCGGAACTTCTGGGTTTTGCTATAGGCTCAAGGTCTGGAATCGTTGCGCCTTTGGTGAAAGTGTATTCCATAGACGAGTTGCAAATTCTCGCCTCACAGTGAAACACGCCAGTGTCGAAGCCCATTTTACGAATTGCCGAGACCACCTCATCGGTGATGGCCCGCTGTTCGTTCTCAGGGAGTCTCGAGGGCACAGCCGCTTGCGACTCTGTGAAGAGCTTTCCTGTCGGATCCTCCGCAAGGTCTGCGGAGCAAGGAAAGTCGTCTACAATCTCAGTGTACAGAACCCGGTCCCTGAAGAGGACAACGTTACAATCCACTTCAGGCCCGTCGATGTATGGCTCGACCACAACACTCAGATCGGGGAGCTCTTGGCTGACGATGAGAGATTTCTCGACGGCATCACGCAATTGTGCGGCGTTGTTTGCGCGGTAGACTCCCCAGCTGCTCAGTCCAGCGACTGGTTTGCATACAACAGGGAAGTTGACGGATTTAGTAGACTGTAGTCTCGATTCCAGCTCTTTGAGGCTCTGCACCGTGAAGAAGTCTTTCTCGTCGGGGTCGAGCATCTGGCGCGTGCGATACTTGTTTGTTGAAACCGAGAAAGCCTCTGGTTCTGGTGTATAGAGTCCCAGATCTCTCGCTGCCATGGCCGTTGACACCATGAATGGATCCCACGGCCCCCAGAGGCCGTCTATTGGATCTGGGTATGCTTTGATTGCATCGGCGATTCTTCTCCAGAAGCCATCGTCTGTAGTCAAGTCCATACTGATGTAGCCGTCTATCAGATACTCGTGTGGTGGCTTGTCATCCTTGGACCATGCGCCGGAACTCATAACTACCACTTCGATACCAAGCGCCTTCGCTTTGGCCCATGCCGCTCTCTTGGCCGCTATGCGACTCCATATCAGGAAGCAGATGCGCCGCTTGCGGATGGGCTCTGGCGAGATGAAAGGAAAGGAAAGCCTTCGTGTGAGTTCAAACTCAAGTTTGTCGATAGAGTCATTGCATAGTTCCAGAGGGGATAGGATACCACCGATCGGTGCTTCTATGGCCTCGAATACGCCATTGATGGTCCTGGTAGAGTCGGAAGGAGCTGTTATCTCCTGAAGTGGCGAGAGAAATGTCTTGGTCGAAGAAACAAGGACACAGTCTGCCACACGAAAGTCCCAAGGGTTGGCATGCCCTACAAAGCCACTCACTCTAGGAATCTGGAAGATGCACATGGCTTCTTTTTGCGCGATACATTGCTGGAGAAGCGCAGCGATCGCTGAATCTTGATTCTTTCTGAGCTGACAAGCCTCCGACTGTGAATCATTGTCCGAGATCCACACCCCGGGACCGAGGGAGGTCTCCAATGGCTCTGAGTTGCGGACTTTGGGCGCAACGTACAAATTGTGAAATTGCTGAGCCTCGTTTCCGTTTTGCTGTACATATCGCCACTCACACTCGAGTGAGACTGACAGAAACCTGTTAGCATGGATGTTTGTACTCTGATCACATAAACTGACCTTGGTTATCTGGCAAGTTCAGCCAGATGTAGAGCCGTGTTTGTTCGGCCATTGCTGAAATCTTACGTCAGTGAGTAATGTGTGCCTGGTAATTAAGAGCCAGATACTCCGTAGTTGTTACCGGGTTTCTTATGTTTGGAGCCCACCACGCACTGCAAACATACATCATGTTTCACTACATAATAAACTGTTGGGCAATGGTACCGCAGAGACTCTGTCCGTGCAGGGCATTCTGACGCTGCATGGTCACGCTGCACGTTGACTTGTGCGCAACCAACAGCAGCACAAACCGCACTAGTCAAGAGGGCTTCCGGGGGTAGTCAGCCTCTGACCGACCTGACGTTGCGTTTATGGTTGTTCATTTGCGGAATAACATTCAGTGAGCATTCTGATGACGCGAGCCTGAACTGGTCACCGCAAGGCACATGTTATACAGAAATCAACGCGACAATCGTGCTCTCCGGTAGTATGCAGCAGTAGCTTTAAGGTCTTTTCTCTAGCACACTGTCATTCAAAGTTTAAGTGGCTTTCATGCTTCTTGATTTTGTTACCGCAATTGAGCTGAATCATTCTCATATAATACAAATGGATCATTTAAGTTCTGAGTGGCACTGCGTCAAATGCTTGTTGGAAGTCGGCAATGAGATCGTCCACCTTTTCAATGCCAAGTGACAACCGGAAGAGGTCCTCATACACACCCATTGCCTCATTCTGCTCAACCGAACATCCCTTGTGCGTTGTCGACCAATGATGCCCTACCGTAGTCTTTGCATCTCCGACATTTGGCGTGTTCGAGATAATCTCAAACGAATCGACAACATCAAATGCAATGTCCACTGTCCCTTTGAACCCAAAAGTCATAACAGTTCCAAAGCCCTTCAGGTACTTCAAGGCGAGCTGGTGATACGGATGGTCTTCAAAGCCCAGGTACTTGACCCAAGCGATGCGCGGGTGGTTGCGCAGCCAAGACGATATGAACAGAGCGTTGCGGTGCTGGCGCTCACAGCGAAGCGAAAGGGTCTCGACGCCGATGAAGAGCTGCTGGGCGGCCTGCGCACCGAGACAAGCTCCTGTATCGCGCATGAACTCCCATCGTAGAAAGCTCATGTATGCTTCGTTGCCAAACTGGTCGTAGAGGCTGGTATCAGTGCCCTCGCGGCCTCGCTTTGCGTGAAGATGGGGATAGCAAGCTGCATTGGACTGCCACTCGGAAACACCGGTCTCTATGACAACTCCCCCTAATGTCGTTCCATGGCCACCGATCCATTTGGTAGCCGAGTGGATGATAATGTCGACACCAAATCTGGCTGGCTGACAGAAGAAGCCAGCAGCTGAAAAGGTAGCGTCCACGATGAGAGGAATCTTTGCACGTCGCGTAATGGCTGAGAGACCCTCCAAGTCTGCTACTGCGAACTTGGGGTTACTGATGGTCTCAGTGAAGACGAATTTGGTCCTCTCATCAATCGCCGCTTCAACCTTTTCTAGGTCATTTGTATCCATGATGCGACATTCTAGACCCATGGCAGGGAGTATGACTTCGAATTGATGATACGTTCCACCATGAACAGCACCGCTCACAACAGCATTATCGCCAACAGTAACCAAGGATTGCGCGACTGTCAAAATTGCAGCGGCACCGCTTGCGAAGCTAAGAGCATCTTTTCCGAGCTCTAGGGCCGCCATGCGCTTCTCGAAGCCGACATTACTAGGCTTCACATCCGTCAGTCATCAAGTTCCTGGAGTATATGACCTGGAAGTACTCACGTTGGAAAGTCGGCTGTACATGTAGAACGGGCTCCTTGGGCCATCTGCAAAGCTGTAGGCATCCTCGATGCTCTTTGATGACTTGAAGCGAAATGATGCCGAGTTGTAGATTGGCAGGGAGCATTGCCCATGGCCGGTCTCGTTCTCAAGACCAGAATGGACTTGAAGAGTATCGAAATGCCACTTCCGTGTATTTTTGGACACTGCTTTTGGCAAAGCTGCCCCGTTGGAATTATGTTCACCATTCTTGGTGCTGTGGTTGCTTGTGTGCGCTCTTGCGGCCTCGTCTAAGGTACTCGAGGGGCTCATGTTGATATTTTCACCGATGTTGGTTTGGCCGAAATTCGCAGTTACATAAACACAGACAGGCAACTTGCAGCAGTATCGGAGCCATAAATTCACCGGTTTATTCAGAGGTTCTAACGATGCAGGATGAGACGTTGATGTGGCGAATGACCCTGCAGATTCGGATGTGCACCTAGTATTATGGTGTGTGCGATGGCAAGCTTCCTGGAAGCGACTTATGGCGGGTCAAAAGACCTTGCAGGGTCCCTGAAGGATATGACTGTGCAGCTATACTGTTCCTAAATGGGCGAATAACTGATAATTGAAAATCAGCTCCCCTGGAATTACGATGTTGGAGACATCAGCAAAAGAGGACTGAACGACCATTTCGTCGCAATCTACAGACTGACTGCAAACGCTTCCTTGTAAAATCTTTGTCACATTCTAACCATCATTCTGCCTCAATCTTATTCTCACCTCCGAAACAATGACGACTGACTCAATAACCCCGGGTCGAGACCTGGAAGCCGAAGGTCAAGTCTATGTAAATACCATGGTGGAAAACATTAAGGCAGCAAAATCCTTGTGCCCCTTGGACACGCCCGAAAAGGCCGATCAGGTCGTCCCATTCTGGGACAAGTTTTACAAAGTCATAGGTTTCACGACCCTCGACATTGAGTTGGAAACGGCGGTTCTCGCTCATCCAGACATCTTAGGCCTCATGCCAGACATTAGATACGTCATGGGAGAGTGCGAGGGCGCCTTGGAAGTGACGTGGGCGGACAGGGTTGCAGCTGCGCAAGACGCAACTGATGGTATGAATTTGAGCACTGATTGTGCATCGTTCGCTGACTGTCGTATCGCATATAGCCTGGCAGATCTTTAACACCACCCCGATTCATGAATTCTATGAATATGTGCTCAAAGCAGAGTGGTCGGGCCTCCTATCCGTCATGGACAAGGCTCCCGAGTCCATAGCCATTCTGGGATCTGGTGCAATGCCAGAGACAGCTGTTTGGGTAACCAATTGGGCCAAGAAACAAGCCAAAACCGTGCGAATCCACAGTCTGGAGCTTCTTCCCGATCGTCTAGAGAAGAGCATCAAAGTCCTTGACAAACTCTGCGAGGACACGCATCACTGCACATTCGAGGCAGGCGATATCAAAGACGCTCCTCGGGACCTCCGCCAGCACGACGTTGTCTACTTCAACGCAGCAGTTGGATCAACAACGCTGGAGAAGGAGAATATCCTGCTCAGCGTGGTGTCTCGTATGCGGCCCGGGGCATTTGTGCTGACCCGAAGCACCCATTCTATCAAGACCATGGCATATCCTGTAAGTTATGTTACACAAGTTGAACGGAGCGAGCAGCTGATTACCGTTGATACAGCCAGCCAAGATCCAAACTCAGCGTTTAGTGAAGAGGCTGCGGCCAGTCCTCACATGCCAGTTGAATGGCGAGCCTGGGAAGAACGCGAACGCGAGTTTTATCATTTCTAGGGTAGTTTAGTATGAGTTGTTCTCAAATTTTGGATGTCTGTGTGGAGTGCTTACCTTTGCTTGAGCCTCAGCTGAATGTAGATTGATGACAGCATTGGTGTACTCAGTCATGTCGGTTCCCGTACTAGCCCGCCAATTAATGTGAGGACCAGTCAGTACCAGTGTTGGCCAATGTATCGCCCAAAATATTGAATAGCGGCAAGCAGGGAATGGTAGGGCATAAATCCAATAGGTCAGGTAGGCAGTTAATGGTGCGTTATCCAAATGAAGGAAATTCCTCAGGTATGCAATACGGCACGTGACATCCGCGACGTCTCTCATAACACCGCGGCATGATGATGACCTGTCATACGTATCCGGGCTGTAATCAACTTCACCCTTGACACACCCACAAAAGCCCGTCGCTGTTGGCTGTGATGTCACTTCAATTGCACCCATGCTTGTCTTATCTCCCGTCTCAGTCACCGCCCTAGTCAAAGCATTAGTCGCTATGCACTCTCCTCCAGCAGCACGTCTTTCTTCTTCTCTATTTTCCTACATCCTCATGAGTTTCATTAAGTAAAAATGCACCAACATCGCGAAAATGGACACGAAACCCACGTCAATGAAAGGACAGCCCTCCTCTCACCACAGTCCGAAACACCCAACGGCGAGTCCAGGCCAGTTGCCAACTTGAATACGCACCGCACTCGCTGCTCATGGCCGTGGATCTACGTCGTGCTCCTCTGCATCGCCCTCGCCGTCGTCTCGGACGTCGGCGAATCTCTCTACTCTGCGCCAAGAGTGCGGCTCTTTGAGTCCGTTGCCTGTACCCGCCACTATCTGCGGCACGATCCGTCGTTAGTGGATCGTGATGGGTTCGTCCCTGAGCGCCTCTGTAAGATCGACCCAGTGCAGGACAAGGTCGCTTCGGTTGTGGGCTGGCAGTACTTTTTCGATGCTATTCCCGCAATTCTGCTTCCAATCCCTTATGGTTATGTGGCAGACTTGCGTGGACGGAAATGGATCCTGGTATTAGCCTTGGGTGGGTATACTTTGTCCTGGGCGTTGACGCTATTCTTTGTAAGTATCGCCAAACCTCTATTCACGTTCTAGTAGTATTAACCATGTTTTCAAAGGTCGGGGTACTGCATTTACCTTTGAACGCAGTCTGGCTATCATCACTCTTCTTCATTATCGGTGGTGGCCCAACGACGGGCACAACCTTACTCACCACTGTGGTTGCTGATGTAGTGCCAGCAGAGGTCAGGAGTACCGTGTTCTTTTATCGCTTTTGTACCGACCTCGTCGCAGATCTCATTGTCCCTCCAATAGCCTCGATGTTGATGAACAAGAACACATGGATCCCTCTCCTGCTGGCCGTGGCCTTCCAAGGACTTAGTGTCATATTAGCACTTGGGCTGCCGGAAACGCTGCCAGTGGTTGACTCCAAGAGGGCCGGCGAGGACACCAATGACATATCTTCCGACTACACAATCAGTGGACAAGCAGAGATACCATCCAAGAGTGACGGCAAATGGGGAAGTTGGCTTACTCGAAACAAAGACTCGTTCGATTTCGTCATAAAAGACAGAGCCCTATCCGCCCTTGTCTTCACTTTCCTCATCTCCAAGGTCGGGCGTCAAGCTGCTAATATGCTCTTCCAATATGTATCGAAGCGATATGGATGGACTTTGGCCCAGGTGAGTTCATACTTTCTGAATCCATTGGTGTGGATGCCTTTCTAACGCATTTCGTCACCTACTAGGCAGGATTTCTCATCTCACTACGGGCAGGTGTAAACATTGCGCTGTTCACAGTCATACTCCCTCTCATTGCTACGTACGCACTCTCAAGCTGGAGTGCAACCTCTCGAGACCTTTGGATCGGCAAAACAAGCATCATCCTCTTGATTCTAGGCAGTTTGATCATATTCTTGTCAGAGACCTCAGTAGGCATGATAATTGGTAAGCCAAAAATTGCAAAGGCATGCCATGTCAAAAAGCTAAGCATCCTTTAGGGCTCGTGGTATCTACCTTGGGCTCAGGCTTCGCGCCAACCATGCGCAGTCTAGCAACCAGCCTTGTAGAGTCTCGGCACCCCAACGCGACAAGCGACATCGGGCGGCTCTATGCGCTCATCTCGGTCGCAGAAGGAATAGGAAGCTTGGTGGCAGGCCCCGGGATGGCTTTGGCGTTCCGTATGGGCATGAGTTGGGGCCAAGCCTGGCTCGGACTGCCCTTTGGGTTTGCTGCTTTTCTCTTCGCTCTGGTCTCGACAATTGTATTCAGCGTCAAGATTTAAAATATGGGGGCCTTGGTACAACTGGATCATAGATATGGCAATACTAAGTTGGGAACTATACAGACGATGCATTCATCACCACGGTCACAATATGCACAATCGCCAACGCCAACATAATGCCATCCCCAATCGATTCGACTGCAGTACAAGTTTTGGTCTATTAACACAAGTGGAACGTTGACTCTATGGCTACTTATAAGTCAGGATCCGAGCCGAGGAATGATCGCAACAATTCATTGAGCTGTTCACCCTCGATAAGAAACGCATCATGCCCATCATTGCTCTGGAGCGTTGCGAAAGTTGCATTCTTCAAGCCCTGGGACAGAAGCACTTGCTCAGAGAGTGGGTAGAGGCCATCTGTAGGGACCCCGACAACCAGTGTGCGCTGTCTGATCTGGGCAAGGACTTTGAGTAGAGCCTCGTCGTCCGAAAGACCTGGGTACCGGCCACGGGCGATATCGTGGGAGTCGATCTTGTCCAAGATGTGGAGATAGCAGTTGGCGTCGAAGCGAGCATTGAACTTTTCTCCTTGGTAACGCAGATAGCTTTGCGCCAAGAATATGCCCGACTTATCGTAGTGCCCGTTATCTCGTGCCGCGCAGTGCACATCAACCGCGAATGGCACACGGTTGCCGTTGACTTTAGAGAACATTCTGTTGGGCGCTGTGTAAGTCTCCAGCCTGCGTCTTCCAAATCTGTTTTCGAAAGATGAGTGCGTCCGGTACGATATCATCGCTGCCATGCGCGCTGCTGCGAGGCCATCTCGAGGAGGATCGTCACCATAGCGCCCACTACGGAACTTGGAATCAGACTTTATGGTTGCCCTCTGGTTCTCACACCACGCTATAGCCCAAGGACTTTGCCTGGCTGCGGTCGCGACGAGAACCACAGATTGCACGAAATGCTTCCCGAGCAATGCCCACTCCAGCGCCATCATACCCCCCATGCTGCCTCCTATAACGCAATATATCGACCGCACCCCGAGCAATTCAACGACGAATTTTTGGATTCTATTTGGAAGCGAGTCAGCCTTTATCTGGGCCTAGACTCGTGCGTATACTCACCGGACATCATCACGAATAGTTGTTTTCGGGAACGAGTGTCCATAATAAGATGCACTGCCTGGTTTGACAGATAGCGGGCTCGAAGAGCCATAGGGACTTCCTAAGGAATTGCAGCAGATGAGGCAGAACCTGTTGGGATCGAGGACTGGGTTCTCGGGACATGCCAAAAGTGGTGACCACCAGTCCGCAACATCAGCACTGCCGGAAAGGGCGTGGCAGATGACGACGGCATTGGTTTTCTGAGTGTTAAGTCGACCCTTGACGGTGAAGGCCACTGTCGCGTTGGTCAGAACTTCTCCTGACTCAAGCGTGAACTTGTCAATCGTTGTGTAGAGCTGCGTTGGCAGCTGGTCCTGCATCGCATGTTGACCGCCTTGACGTCGAGTCAGTGATTGTATATTATTTGAGAGCTACAGAGACGTACTGCTTGACGTGAAAGGCGATGGAAACGGTTCTTCTACTGTCATTGCACCAGTTGTATCCGACTATTTCAGATCGCTGGATGTTTCGGGCAATGTAGCTGCTTTGATCCACCAACTTCAATGCATGAATAGAGCTCAACGACAAAGTACATTTGAAGCACATGCCTGAAGTACTCACTGGTACGGGGTTTGAATTCTACTACCAGGTCATTTTGGTTGAAACGCATGTGTGGATGTGTATGATGGCAAAGACTCAGGGTAGGTTGTGAGGCCAAGACGGCTCGGTCCGTTATCAGTGACTGTGCATTAGCGCGATGACCTTGCATTGACGGGGATGTTGACCCTGCAGGAGGAGCCCGGTATGCGGCGACGTCAAGCCTCGAGCTCTCACGAGAGTAGAGGTGTCGATCACCAACCAACAGCTATTCCGGAGCATGAGCTCCGAATCGGTACGAGCGTACAACCAACAATGGAACTTATGATCGGTGTCTTATTGGGGAGACGGGCACGTGAAATACGCGGTCGCAAATATACGTGATGTGATGATGGCGTTGTGCCGTGCCATATAGGTAAAGCGCCAAAGTCAGTCTCAATCTGAGGTCTCTTGCGGATATTGTCGCTGTCGCCCATTCTTCCATCCACTGCGACCACTCCCTGTGAGCGTGGTATCTACAGGCCTTGTGCGTATTAGTCTGACCGATGCGCTCTCGGTGGCTGAGGCCATTCGGCCAACACAATGTCCCTGACATTCCTGAGAAGAGGGAGGTAACTGCGGAACAAGATGCAGGTATCTTGAGCAAACTTTGGTTTGCTTGGCTCAGTCCGCTCATGACCGTGAGACTATATTCATCTATCTGTCCCTGCTATACGTATGATGTTTCTTCGTGCTGACCGTGATAATTGATGGTAGATCGGATACCAACGTCACCTGGAACGCAATGATATCTGGACAGTGTCAGACGCAAGGCTGATGGACACACTCCAGCCCAGTCTCGACACCGCTTTTCGAAAACGGGTAGTTGCTCGCAATCGACTACCTCTCCTATGGGCGCTCTACGAGGTCTTCAAGTTTGACTTCTGGCTCGGTGCTGTCAGTCAATTCGTCGTGTCGACTCTACAGGTGATGACGCCTTTCACGCTGCGATTCCTCATTGAGTGGGTTCAACATGCCTACCCCGACGGACACGACACACGCGGCTCCAAGCCAGTAGCAGTTGGCATAGGATATGTCATCGGTATCGCAATCTTGCAGATGCTTCAGACTTTTGCCTCGAGTCAGTTTTACTATCGGGGCATGTTACTCGGTGGACAGACACGCAGCGCTTTGATAGCCATGGCGTTCAACAAGTCACTGAAACTGTCCAATAGAGCCAAAGCTGGGGGCCAAGCAGGGAGTGAGGATTCGGGTTCGGGTCCATACGGCGATGGTTCCTGTCGGGTAGATGAGAAAGGCTGGTCTAACGGACGTGTGATGAGCCTGGTCTCCAATGACACCGCCCGCATCGAGCAGGCGTTAGCAGCTTTCCACCTTTCCTGGCTATCACTCTATCAACTCATTCTAACAGTTGCACTCTTGGTTTACAACCTGGGCTGGACAGCTCTACCAGGAGCAGCCACTCTCATCTTTGGTCTCGCCGCAGTGACATACGCGACGAGACCCCTGGTGGCAAGCCGGAATCGCATCAACATAGTCACTGACCAGCGTGTCACACTTACGCAAGAGATCCTCCAGAGTATCCGGTTCGTAAAGTACTTTGGCTGGGAGGGATTCTTTCAGAGTCGACTTGGAAACATCAGAGCGTCTGAAACTCGAGCCTTGCGCATCATGCACCTGATTCGGTGCGCCGTAGGAACCCTCGCTCAGTTTCTACCCGTCCTTGCCATCATGATCACGTTCATTGTCTACGCGGTTGTGAATGGCAGTCTTGATCCAGCGGTTGTCTTCTCATCCCTAGCGATGCTGTACCTACTGCGCGTCCCAACCAACTGGCTGCCCGTATCCTTGAGTCTTGCTGCGGACGCAGTCCAATCGATCAAGAGGATCGAGGGCTTTCTGCTTGCTGAGGAAGTACAAGCGCATACAGTTCCAGACGTTACTCTTGCTCCAGCTGTCAAACTCAGCAATGCGTCTTTCACGTGGGAGATCCCACCATCGAACGAGGAAGGTGAATCATCAAAGGATAAAGAGAACAACAATCGCCTGTCGAGGGCTTTGAGGAGACAACGAGCGGGGCACGAAAAGAAGGGGACCGACACTTCGGATACAAAAGCCCGCCCAGTCCAGGATAGCGACGAGCCGTTCTCGCTGAACGATATCTCCTTGGAATGCCAGAGAGGCGAGCTGGTCGGCATCATCGGAAGCGTTGGATCCGGAAAGACGTCTCTTCTTAGTGCTCTTGCGGGAGATATGAGACAGACCGGGGGCACTCTGCAGTTTGCCGCTGACAGGGCGTACTGCCCACAGTATGCTTGGATCCAAAACGCCAGCGTGCGAGACAACATCACCTTCGGGAAGCCTTTCAACCAGAAGCTCTATTCCGAAGTGGTACATGCCTGCGCTTTATTGCCTGACTTTGTACTCCTACCACATGGCGATATGACTGAAATTGGTGAACGAGGCGTCACTCTCTCGGGAGGGCAAAAGCAACGTATCAACATCGCCCGCGCGATATATTCGGACGCTGGCATCGTAATACTTGACGATCCGCTTTCAGCTGTTGATGCGCATGTAGGTACGCATATCTTTAACGAGGCCATCTGCGGTTTGCTCAAGGACAAATGCCGGTTCTTAGCAACACACCACCTGCATCTACTGTCCCGGCTCGACAGGATCATTTGGATGGTCGATGGACGTATCGAGGCGATAGGTACTTATGAGGAATTGATGAAGTCGCACCCTGCCTTCGCCAGCCTGGTTGCCGTCGGAGGACATCAGCAAAAGGAGACCGATAGCACTGAAAGCAAGAAGGGTGATTCCGTCGGCCCCGATAACAACACGACGAAAGCCGAGGTTTTGATGCAGGAAGAGGCTAAGATTGTCGATAGTGTTCCCTTCTCTGTATATGTTTCGTGGTTGCGGGCTTCTGGCTCCCTATGGAATGGCCTTGCAATGGTTGTTGGACAGCTCCTTTTCCGAGCCTCAAGTATTTTGGGGGGCTTATGGCTTTCATGGTGGGTGGACAACAAGTACGGCCTCACCCGCGGTCAGAATGTAGGAGGAATTCTTCCTTCCATATCGAACTTGAGCAGATTCACTAATAATTTCAAACCAGATCGGTATATATGCCGGCCTGAGTCTCGCTCAATGCGTACTAGTGTTTTCGTCTTCTCTCATCACCTGCTTGGTATGTATCAAGTCAAGTCAGGTTATGTCGAACAATGCGCTTTGGCAGACTCTCAGAGCCCCCATGTCTTTTTTCGACACAACCCCTCTTGGCCGTATCATATATCGCTTCACAAGAGACATTGATGCACTGGACAACAACCTGGTCGTTGCTGTGCAGCAACTGCTAATTAACGTAGCAGCACTTTTGGGCTCCTATGTTCTCATCGTTGCCTACTTCTACTATGTAAGTTATCCTTCACTACTCCCTTGCCATAGAATCAACCTGACAAATAGTAGTTTGCCATCGCTCTAGTGTTTGGCGCGACGGCACTTTGGTGGTGTATCTCCTACTACAGGAGCAGTGCACGAGAGCTGAGGCGACACCAACTGATACTCGACGGTGTGGTTTTTGCTCGTCTAAATGAAGCTCTTATTGGAGCTGCCTGCATTCGCGCCTATGATCGGGAGCTCCAGTTCGTCAAATTGGTCCATGAAGCCATCGATGACATGGACAGTGCCAACTTTCTGACGTTCGCCAGCCACAATTGGCTGTCTGTTCGGCTTGACAACATCGGCATCTTGTTGAACCTGGTCACTGGTATTCTCGTGGTTACCAACGCACTACCAGTTGCTCTCAGTATCTCGGGTCTGTTGCTGACTTACAGCATGTCCATGGTTGGCATGATGCAGGTCGTGGTGAAGTATCTGATCGAGGTCAACAACTCCATGTCGAATACAGAACGTCTGTTCCAGTACACAAATTCTCTGCACCAGGAAGCCCCCCTCGACGGCGCCAGCGTGCGTCCTTCTTGGCCCGAGCACGGAGCCATAGAATACGAGGCTGTGCAGATGCGCTATCGCCCTGGTCTTCCGCTGGTGGTCGATAACTTCTGCCTGAAAATTGCTGGGGGTGAGAGACTCGGCATCGTTGGCCGCACGGGTGCTGGTAAAAGCACCATTCTATCAACCCTCTTCAGGCTGACAGAGATTTCTGGCGGGAGTATTACCATTGATGGTATCGACATAGGCCAAATTGGTCTTCACCGGCTCCGAAGCGCTTTGGCTATTATTCCACAAGATCCCACTCTCTTCCAGGGCACTATTCGCTCGAATCTAGACCCTTTCAACAAGCACACAGATACTGAACTATGGCATGCTCTCCGTGAGGCACATCTTCTCCCAGGCAGCGAAAAGTCATTCACCATGCCCGAGGGAGACACCCAGACAAGCAGTGTTGTGGAGAGGGACGGTCCAGACAATACTGACTCTGGGAAGCCTCGAGAGACGCGTGTGACACTTGACACGGCCGTGGAAACCGAAGGCCTCAACTTCTCTCTTGGACAGCGGCAGCTGATTGCGCTTGCCCGAGCACTTCTTCGCAACACGCGTATTGTGCTGGTGGACGAAGGGACAAGTAGTGTTGATCCTGAGACAGACGCACTTGTGCAAGAGACACTGGCGACTGGTTTGGAAGGTAAGACGCTGATTGCCATTGCACACCGTCTTCGTACCGTGATCCAGTACGATCGAGTGTGCGTCATGGATAAGGGTAAGATTGTTGAGCTGGGGCCGCCGTTGGGGTTATGGGAACAGGGGGGAATTTTCAGGGCCATGTGTGATAGCAATGGCATTACGCGGGAGATGTTCACGAGTGTCTAGTTAGCACTGGTGGTACGTAGAAGATACCAGCGCAATACCTAGACATAGATCAGCATATATCTCGACATCATCCTGTATCTTAGAGGTGGCGTCGACTTGTTGTCCCGATCCCCCTTGAACAACTTTATTGTACTTTTTTCGTCCTACCTGCAACGAGTCTCGCTTGTTATACGAAAACGGTTTGGGGAATATGATAGTGTGGTGTTAAACAAATCTACCGTCCAACATTAGTAAGTCAAGTTACATTTCCTTCTCCGGAGATCGCTCGGGTTCCTGGTGTGCACCTGGATAAGCACTGTCTGCCAAGGCGATGTCGTGTGAGCACCCTTCACGATAGATCTCGATTTATAGGCAAAACTTATTCTTTTCAAGGTCAACGATTCCTTCGTCTCCATCAAAATGGGTCAGAGGCGGCTTGTGCTTGCTCAGTTCCCACAATTCAATCGTCGCGATGAAATCATCGAGTGAAGGATATGATTTCATATGAATGACATCACTGTTACCTCTTCACCACTACAAATAAGAGACCTCTAGGAACAAATATTTGTCTGCATTACAATCTTCACTACGATCCCATCATAGCAAACTACACAAGCTCTTCTTCAACTTTGTAACAAACAAATTCACTTCAAAATGTCCAACTACGAGCAGATCGCCAAGGAGGCCGAGATGGACCTCAACACCTACCAAGCCAAGACCGGCAACGCTCGTCCTCAGGACGTTGAGGGCGCGGGTGTTAACCCCCATGCTGAGAACAAGTTTGAGAGCGCTCAGGTTGAGTTTGGCGATGAGCTGAGCACAAACGCTGGCTACAACAAGCGCATCCCCCCCAGCGAGGGTGGCATCGTCGATGATAAGGGCCGGTAAGAACATCCACCAAAATTAGACATAATAATCTCTAATTTCTCCAGACAAGCCCGTGGTCAGCACTACGAGGGTGAGGGCGGTCCTCTCGACAAGCTCTCCAAGGCCAACGACGAGCGCGGCGGCTACAACGACAACGATGTTGTCGGCGCCAACGTCAAGAAGACCTCCGGCCTCGGGGCTGCTGACGATCTCGCCTCAAGGGGCCAGGAAGCCCAGCGCGCCAATGTAGGCCGCAATCCTCCCGGCCCCGGTGGCTCTCAGTTCAAGGGCGAGGACTACTACCAGCCCGAGAGTGTTCCTGACAGCATCTCCGCTGAGGGTAACATTGCTCCTGAGAGTGTGATTGAGGCTAGCCGAGAAGCTGAGCGACCTTGAGCGAAACGAAAAAACGGAATGGGATGGAATGAATGGTACGGATGGGTTAATAGCGGGCGCTTGTATGATATGATATGTTCATAATTTGAACCGCCATGATTTACGACCACAGTATTTGTGCTTCTGTTGCATCGTGATCGCTGTATAAGTTGAGGTGAAGCTTCGGTGAATCAAATAGCCCCCACTGTGGCTCCCGCTAGAGCCGCCATCATTTAAAGCATGATCAACGTCATGAGGCCTTGGCCTTATCTCGTGACCAGCCGCTAAATGTGAAACTTCGACGACTTCCTATCAGCAACATTGCAATTCCAACCTCAACCTTTCCTCGCAAGACGTGATGTCGTGTGTGCTCTCAAGACGAATACAAGAGTGCTGATCGTCGTCGCCATGTCCGGTATCTCACCGTCTGCCTCTGGATTGCTCCCTATGCCAGGCACGCCTTCGTCATCTTGGGCTGCATACAAAGCCAGAGCTGCAGCTATCATGGGCCATCATGATACGAAGGTCATTGTAGCCTTTTGGCTTTTTGGTATGACTTCACCTCAAATATCCTCGGCTTATAGCTAACAGTCGCGTCAGGCCTCATCAACAATGTCCTCTACGTGATCATCCTCTCCGCCGCCCAAGACCTCGTCGGTTCCATCCCCAAAGGCGTCGTCCTCCTCGCCGATGTCGTTCCTTCGTTCCTCACCAAGTTGATCGCACCGTACTTCATCCATCGAATACCGTATCGCATGCGAGTCCTCATATTCATAGCGCTGTCCGTGGTTGGCATGCTCATGGTAGCCCTAACACCACGCACGCAGTCCGTCGCCATCAAGCTCGTCGGTGTAGTCCTCGCGAGTATAAGCGCTGGCGGCGGTGAATTGAGCTTTCTTGGCTTAACACACTTCTACGGCCCGATGAGTCTTGCGGGCTGGGGATCTGGGACTGGTGCTGCAGGCTTGGTCGGCGCAGGTCTCTACGTGATGTTTACGGACTGGTGGGGATTGAGCGTGCGTAGCAGTTTGCTAATCTCGGCATGTTTCCCTGCAATTATGTTCATCAGCTTCTTCGTGATATTGCCGCTTGGGCCTCTGAGGGAGGGCACGACTCGGAAAGATTACGATGCCATCCCGGATCTAGAGGATGAGGACGTGAACCACATGGATGAAGGAACTGCTTCGTCGGCGCTCTTAGCTCCTGGGCCGTCTGTCGCGGCGACTGCATACTCTGCGCATAGCACGCAAGACACACTCACGATGCGAGACAGGTTGAAGAAAGTGAAGGTGTTGTTTGTCCCATATATGCTCCCGCTACTACTAGTGTACGTAGCCGAGTACACGATTAACCAAGGAGTTGCTCCAACATTGCTATTCCCCCTGGACGAGTCGCCATTCGATGAGTTTCGAGATTTCTACCCCATGTACGGGTTTCTCTACCAACTCGGCGTCTTTATCTCCCGATCATCTACGCCATTTATACGTATTCACCATTTATACCTCCCCTCGATGTTGCAAGTGGCGAACCTTGTCCTTCTCACATTCCACGCTGTATACTTCTTCCTTCCATCAGTCTACGTTGTCTTTATCATAATATTCTGGGAAGGTTTGCTAGGTGGAGGCGTCTATGTCAACTGCTTCGCCGAGATCATGGAGAACGTGCCGCCTGAGGATAGAGAATTTAGTCTTGGAGCAACGACTGTCAGCGACAGTGGTGGAATCTCTATCGCCGGACTTGTTAGTATTGTGATGGAGACGAAACTTTGTAATTATCAAGTGGCGCATGGAAGGGATTGGTGCCATCGTATTTCTGCGCAAGGTCATTGATTGTTGGGTCCGTCAGGCGTTTTTGAGCGTTGGGTAGAACGAGTTGTAGATATCGGTCAGCACTTGGTATAGAAATTCCGTTACATTCATTACGTGTCTCGCGACGTCTATCGCCTCGTTGACGTGAGCTCGACGCGTAACCTGGGCAAACATGCGTAATAAGCAAATACATTTTTCTTCATCAATGTCATGGTCACTGATCTCACTGTCGATAAGCGATATCCCACCTGGCCCCGAGTGAGGAGACAGAGTTCTCAAAAGACTCTGTTCTCGAACGATTCAGGGGCTTCAAGATAAGTTTTTATACTAAAAGGGCTCCCCCAGTAATACTGTCACTGTCAGCTTACAGCAGCGACAGCCTACAGAAAGTGGACAAGCGACGGGGAGCCATGACCAATAAATCGGAAACAGTCCCGGGACGTCCCTTATAAGGCGACGTTAAATTGCGAGAGATGGGCAAATTAAAAATCTGGATCTTTTGTCGCGACGGGGCGGGGCATTTTTCTCTGTCTGGCGGTCACGGGCGATAGACTTTTTGAAGAAGGTTATATTTTAAATAAGAAAAGGTTACGTTTCGTAAAAAGGTTATAAAACTCACCAATGATAAGCGGCTGCATGAGTTACATGAGATCTGATTGGAATCAATGCATCGGGCGGGCTAGGAGCTTCCATGTTTAGATCGTGGCCCGGCAGATGGGCTGACGGGAAGACCGGCGCGAGAGTGACACCGGAGAATAGGATAGGGCATTATGAAGAATATCACACGATGCCTGCTACGTTGCTCGTTACTCTTTCATACGAAGTCGAGGTGCAGAGATACGACCTCGCCAAGAGAAGGATAAGCACATCAACGGATAACGGCCTAGTGCTGACCGGCTTGGCAAGTTTCATCCTTGTGAGGACGTTGATCAAAATAATGCTGTAGGTACATTCAGCACAGTACATGCTTCGTGTTAGTTGATGGCTGAAGTGTTCACTGAGCCAAAGACACACTCATGAGGGAGGATGAGACCAAACATGGTCGTTCAAATGCTGTTAATTCCCGTCGGAGATCGTTCCAGGTTGGGGCTGAGGAGGGATGCGGCGGAGGAGGGCCGAGTTGGTGGAGTATGGAGATAAAATAAAGGTCCAATGGATGTTATCAGTGACAGGTCGTTTGCCCAGGTCCAGGTTCATTCTGCCAGCCGTGCGTTTGTTCGTTTGTATGGATGTTTGTATGAACCATCAAGTCGATACAATACCTCGTTTATCTACAAAACTCAACAGCTGTAGAAAGTACTCACGATATTCCAAGACATGCATATTCAAGGGACTGTCTTGTCTCTCATGTAAATCCTCTGTCTCAGCCCTTCAGCAGGGAGATCAAGCCTAAATACCTCCCAGCACCCCCAAACATCGATAATCTTTGCAAGGGAGTATAACCTCATTCCTCCCAACGGTAAGGGTTCTCCGCTGAACAAACCATGACCTCGGGCATTGTCCTTGAAGGAATTCAATGCGAGGGGCGATTTTTTTGGCCTCTGTTCAAAATTACAAGCCAAGCCAAATTTCCGCCTAGCGAGACGTTGCAGATAAGCTATTGTTTGATTGGTTAGATCACGGCATGGATAACCATGCAAGCGGCTCTCCGGAGGGGGAATGCCATTCAATAGGTTGATCGAGATGCATTCTGCAGGGGGGATGTGAATTGTGAATATGGGAGTTGTCAAATATTGTTGGTTCTTTCGCTGTGTTGCACCTTTCGTCACAGTGGTTGGCAGTGTTGATGGTGCTGATCCATCAGCAATGAGATGCAAGTCTTATAAACTCAATTCTCCAACCTTGGTAGATTGACTCACTGGCTTGTTACATTGGAGAGGATAACGTGATGACGCACTCGAGCAGAGAATAAAGAAAGGGGGGACTCTCTACCAGATCTAAGCTTACCTCACTAACATCCATAGGAACAAAGCCTATTGGCTGACTATACTGTTAAAGGGGCTGGCATGAATTGAACAAGATGACTTTCTCCAACCTTGACAGTAACAGACAAGAGAGAAAAAAGGAGACAGTTTTCGAGTCCAAGCCCCCTGATTCACTTGGCATTGGATTGGCTCCCGCAAAAAGTGAGTTGAGCCTTTTGAGGTGTCCCGCCACTCGGACTCAGCCCCTCCCAAAAACACGTTTAAAGCCGCCATGATCCATCCATTAGCGCAGACACACGCTAATTGCGAGCCCCTGTAACCTGCAACCTACGCCCGGGCCCTCATCTTCCCGCCTCCATAACTCGCTTCCCTCACCCTCAACCTCTCCAGCTCCTCCTCCTTCTCATCCATCGCCCCCCCATCCAGCCCCTGTCCGCTTTTTTATTTAATTTAATCCCACCTAAAGGCCATTCTTTGTCTCTCTGGTTCCCCCCTGCTCATTTTCTGGCCTTATCAGAAACCAGGTTCCTCTTTTTTACTCAGCTTCTCTCTTCCCCTTCCTCTCCTCGCCTTCTTCCTTCTTCACCGTTCGTCTTTCTTTCTTCTTCAACCTCCCGTAATTCTTTTATTTTACGTCGCGTGCGCTGAGAGGTTCGAGATTCTGGTTCTGGGTTCTGCTTTCTTGTGTCCTTGTCGGCACCTTTCACTCACTCAACTCAATTCTCCCTGAACCTACGTCGTCTTGACTTTATACTCCAGACCCGTTGAGATACACGCGTCGAAAGCGTTGAAGCTTGCCCACAATGTTTGGACAAGTGCGCACAAACCGGTCGACGGTCCTTATGGCCGGCACCGTTATTTTCCTGGTCGCTTTTGTTAGCCTGGCCTACAACCATCTCGACAAGTGGGAGCCGCCCGCTGACGTGTAAGTTGACTTGCGTAATCTAATCTCCGCGAAGACCCAAAAAACTGACGAATTCGCTATAGCGCTACCGACACCGAGACATCCATCATTGGTGATACCCACGATGAGCCTCACCACGACGAGCCCAAGAAGACTGAGCCCGAGCAACCCGAGCATGGCGCCATGTCGAAACCCGACCACCCTTCCAACGCCTCCACCGAGCTCGGCGACTACTACTTCAACTACATCATGAAGGCCCGCATCAGCCCTGCCGACAAGAAGTACGCTCCTTTTGGTGCTTTCCCCATGGAGCTCCCCGCCGAGCCCAAGTGGACTGAGATGATTGGCGAGGACCTCTGCATTATCGATCTTGACAACCGACCTTTCGACGAGCCCGGCCAGATCTTCTCTCCTGGTCTGATGAGCTGGGACCGCGCTGACGAGACCCACGGTCTGTCCCTCGGTGTCCTGAACCACTGGCTCTATGGTGCGTACAATCCTACCCGAGTCACCTGTCTGTGTCACTAACCCCTCAATAGCCAAGAACCACGGTTACAAGTACTACTACGTTGATATCACCGATCCCTTTGAGGATCGCCGCAACTCGTGGAAGAAGCCCCCGATTCTGTCCAAGATCCTCAAGAAGCACAAGGCCTGCATCTTCCTTGACTCCGATGCCGTCTTCCACCACCTCGACCTTCCCTTTGAGTGGCTCATGAACTACTGGCAGCTCCACCCCGATACCAACTCTCTCGCCCTTGCCTACGATCCTCACCACAAGAACAACATGGACAAGTTCGACAAGGTCTACCTCAACACCGGCTTCATCGTTCTCCAGAACAACGAGAAGACCTTTGAAATCCTCAAGGAGTGGGAGGACTGCCCCAACGAGGGTGGCAAGCACCCCGACTGTGTCGAGTTCCGAAAGAACCGCCCCGGAAAGCCCACCGACCAGGGTGGCTTCGGTACCTACATCCGCTACGATTACCCCAAGGACATCAAGGATCTTCCCTGCACTGAAGCCAACGGTTTCCCCGAGAGTCGATCTGGCTGCGACGGAAAGTTCATCAAGCATCTCTGGACCGGCAAGAAGGACCACATCAAGGTGGTCATCGGCCAGCAGGTCCCCGGTGCGCTGCTGGAGATGTTCCACAAACAATTCATGGACGAGAAGCCAAAGTTCTTCATCTCCGAGCGAGACCTGATGGCCCAGAAGGATTAAATAAGTAATGAAAATGCTTTAATGAGACCGAGTACTAGAAAAGGCGGACATGATACGGACGGCTTTTGAAATCATCTTTTTTTTTAATAATTTTACTGTAAAACTTATACCATCCAGGAGAGAGGTGTAGGCAATACCTCTTCTCCTCCCTCTGAAATTGGGGTTACTTGAAATGGTGTTTATGGGAGTGTAAGGGTTTTTAAACAAATGGCCTGAAATCGGAAACAATTTTTTGTATTTTTGTTCAACGTGCATGAGGGGCATGATCTCGTTATGAATAATAGGGATAGCATGAGTTTTGACGTTGATGATAAAGTTCAGGTTGCGTGATGAGTCTGATGATGCTACCCTGCGTGTAAGTTTAACCAATTTTTGAATGTGGATGCAATTGAGTTTAGGACCAGGAAAGGGGTTAGAGTTCGTCCAAAGTAATCGAGAGACGGTTTGAAACTGCTGTGGCGTCAGTAGAGGTTTAGAATGTACTGTCCCTAGATTTAGGGTAGGTCCCAGTCATGGGCTGAGCAGACGTTCAGTAACTTGCCAGTAGCAGACAATAACGTGGCTATTGGAGATATTTCTTGTCTCTGTTCTTGATTGTCATCATAATATAGCTGCCTATCGCTATGGTGTTCAATGGGGGGACGGAGGTATTCTCTTCTTGTGAAGATATTCTTCTGCTGAGTATGTTGCTTTTGTGATTATGGATAGTAACTCCAATGACGACCAACTGCCGAGCAGTTCCATAAAGAGTCAAGGCCAAGTGCGGGGATATAGAAGCTTGAGCTAGTTATTCTCCGTCGGAGTTTTGCTGGCCTGTTCATACTTTGTTGGTGCTGTATTGGACTTCGAGGCATCTACATCGATGCGAATACGACTGTCCTAGTCAATACCAACTCTTACATGGTCGCACGGAGGTGATTTCTAAGCTCTATAGAACGAAATATGATGAAATGTTGTATACGCCCTTCAG